CGTTTTTGAAGGTTTTCTTTATCTTACAGTAGACCCCTTTCCTGTATAAAGCAGTATAAATAGCTACAATGACAGTATCTTTCCAGCAGAATGTGATTCCATTGTTGAAAAACTTAGTAGCTTTCTATTGATATAGCTAGATCATCTAAACTAGCTCTAGAAAGTGAGTTTTCCTTCGATTCACTCCATTCTGCCATCTCCACCATGCCATCTTGCCACCCAAAATGGCCGTGAAATTAAATGTGGGTGTAGTGTAAATTATGAATATGATTAAAAGGCGTTAGTGAAAAAGGACTATTATAACATATACATATAGCTCCAAATTTTTGTTGTTCAAAAATTTCAACAAATTTGTTAAGAATTTTTGGTTGACAAAATTTTAACGAGCGAAATTTTTGCTTCATGTGTTGGTCCTTGGATTTATAATATGACGAAGATTTTATTGACAAAAATTAATTTTAACAAGAAATTAAGATTTTGACAAAATTTTTGACTGACGAAAATTTCAAGTTGAGCTATATGCTATACCAATAACTAATGATTGTGTATAGGAGAGGTTTTTTGGAGTGATGAAGAGAATGGTAAGAATTAATTTAATTTATAGCTTATTAATTATTGTTATCAAAGGACCCCTGATTAATCTTCCTAAAAGTCTCATTTCAGAATTTAAGTTGATGCGATTAAAGTTTGGGGAGACATTTTTCAATGTGGGATCAATCGTGATGAACAACCCTCAGTCTCCATCCATTAACGATATTAAACGTGTACTGGGTAGATACAGCAGTGCATTAAAACCTCAGTTAGCTCAGTGTAAAGATGTCCATAACATTCTACAATTAGTACGTGAGAACAGTTCACTTGATGATATTAGTGTGTTGGAGGTTCTTGTTAATAAGTTCAATATTAAGGAGGTTAAGCCAGTTATTAAGGAATATAAAGAAGCTATTGAGGAGTTAAAAATAAAACTTCGTCAATTTTTGGAAAAAGAGCTTTTAAAAGCATCATCAGTACGTGTACTTGAGTCTGTTACGATTGTCATTGATAAAGATACTAGCTTTTCAGTACTTAAAGATGTACAGAGACTGTCATTAGCTGCATTACCCTATTGTATGAGATTAAATGTCATTAGAAGTGGTGGTAATATGCGGTGGGAAGAATGGGAACCAGAATCATTAACTGATACTTATGTGGGCCCTACTGTACAAAGTAAAGATACCTGCACACTAACAACTGAAGTACTAGGAGGTATACATCAATATTATTAATATGATACAAAAAGTAACTATTGAGTATAGGAACAACAGAAAAGGATGAAGATCAAGTTATATTGCTACAGGAGAAAGTTGAAAGTATTCAAAAGCAACTGGAGGAAGAAAAGGAACTTCATGAAAAAGAGAAACAATTTTATGAACAAGTTATAAAGAAATATGAAGAAGAAATGCTTCAACAGAAAAGGAACCTCATTCAAAATGAAGAGAAAATAGTAATGCTTATTCAACAACATAATGATCACTTGAAACACAAGACAGAACAATATGAAGAATTAAGATCAGGTTATAGTGTTATTATTTTATTGTTGATTGATTGATACTTCACTCATTATACTATAGACTATAAACTTACTCAAGAAGAACTTGTGGAACTACAAAAGTTGTTACAGGAAAAGATACAAACATCCTCCATTCTCATGAAACAGAAATTAGCTGCTCTAAGAGAGAAAAAGGAATTGCAAAGAAAGATTGATGATCTTAAAAAAAAATTAAAACTACAGCAAGTCAAAGATCACAAGGAAGTATCAATTCAGTGTGAATACACTATCACTGAATCAGGTAAGTGTGTATGCATGTGTGACATACACATGTACATGTACTTCTACCATGCCTAGTTGTAATTGACACACTGATGCATGCTGTCATTTGTTTAAGCTGGCTTCTGTATAAGTTCAATTTTAATGCAATTTTCCCTTGTTAAGTAATAAAGGCCTGGGCTTTTAATCAGACAAATACAGTACCTCCACATAATTATTGTTTATTGATACTCCAGTCCTTATTATATTATAGACCTACCCACTACTCATAAACAACTAGAGGAACTTGAAAAGAAGTTAAAGGAAGAGATACAAACATCCTCCAGTTTAATGAAACAGAAACAAGTTACTCTAAGAGAGAAAGAGGAACTACAAATAAAGATTGATGATCTTCAACAAGAATTAGCAGTCCGAGATCATAAGGAAGTATTAGGTATGTACAGTATGTACATACCTACATGACATGTGTGCATGACATGTAGCTGGTATAGTGTTTCGATAATAAACATAATAAACATAAACACCCCTTCTTGTAATTTAATCAATAGAACAAGCACCAGTAGAACAGAAAGAAGAGACTGAGATATTACAAGAGACTGAGACTGTACATACATGTACTTATATCAGTAAAGGTTAGTCCAGTACTCTAAGGCCATGTTTACACAGCTACGTTTTCAAGCAAAAACGAATACTTTTGTATGCGTTTGCACCTTCCGTTTACACAGAAACGTGCAAAAACGCTATGAAAACAAAGGCAAATAAAAACGGCTTCCAAAGTGGAGACTTTTAAAAACACATACATTTGAAAACGATGCAAAATAAAAATGAATTTGAGTGAACCGTTGCTGTGTAAACGTGCCCTAATATAAACTGTATCTACTGATAGACCACATGAATGATTGTATGAGGAGGAGTACACTAGTTGATATTAGTAGCTACCATATTTGGAGTATAGGAATTTGTAGTGATTGGTGGGTGGAATTCAGTTGTGGCTATACATGTACATGTACATCATAATTGGACTCATGTACGTGTATCTATATTGTATAATGGTTTGAAATTTTATTTTGGTGAAGGTCTATCAAATTGGGCAAATTTTTTCTCTAAATTATGCACTACATGTATATAATTTTAAAGAAATTATTTATTTTATTACTGTTATTATTATTATTATTTTTTAATTATAGGTGACATATTAAAATTATCAGTGATACTGGAACCATTTGAAGATGACTGGTATCACATTGGACTGTGTCTTGAAGTGAAGGAATCAGTGTTATTTGAAATCAAAGAGATGACACCAGTTGATTCAAGATTAACTCATGTACTTGAGACCTGGTGTCATGAGAAGGATAGAACAATAACTGAACTGAAGGACTCATTGAAAAGAATGGATAGAGATGATATACTTGAAGGTAAGGATTAGTGATTGCTATATATTAATTATATTCATGTACTGTACATTGTCATTCACTGTAGGTTTACATGAATTACCTACTGGACAATATACAATGAATAATGATGAAGAATATGATATTAATGGTATGTTGTTGTTTGTGAAGCTACTGTTGACATTTTTATTAATTATCATTATTTTTAGTAAAAGATTCAAATGATGAAGTTGAGACTGAAATTGAAACTGAAAACAAAGAAATACAAACAACACCAACAAGTATGTAATTATTTATTTATTTATTTATTTATTATCACTTTTATACTTTAGCTGTTGACAAAGAAATTCAGTTCAACTATCTTGTACCATCACAAGGTTAGTCCCTGTACTATTAGTAACGTACATGTAGTCTCAGGTCAACTTTGCAAAAAATGAAAAGTAGAGATTTTTTCATTTTTATAATTTTTTGATGCATATACTTGTTCATACATGTATGTTGCGTAGAATGTTTGAGCCAATTTTGATCAAATTAAAATTTTTGAAGTTACTCTACAATTGGACGGTCCCTGTACTATAGTACAGCGTCTCAGGTCAAATTTTGTTAAAAATAAAAGTAAAAAATTTTCCATTGTTATAATTTTCCCTGATGCCTATTCATGTATTTGTGTTGTGTAGAAAGTTTGAGCTAATTCCGATTAAAATTAGATTGTTTACAAATTTTTGAAATTGCTCCAAAATCAGACGAAAGTTCCTGTACTGTAGTACATAGTGTCAAGCCATATTTTACGAAAATTGAAAAGGAGAGAATTTATCAATTTATA